GTGTCCGACAGCATCTGTCTGATGTCGTCTTTATCAAGAACAGATTGTACACTAATGCTCATTAAGACAAATCTTAATGTTGTGTTGGAATGAGGTGGGGGAGTTCAGAAGTTGTACTGTCCAAAGCCACTAACCTGCAAATACTGTTTTGTAACCTTCTGTATGGGAACCGAAACTGTCAATGCCTCAAATAGTACAACTGCTTTGAATTGCTGTTGTTCTTAACTTGTAACTGTTGTTCAAGAATTTGAACTAAAGAATTGTTATGTGTATCTGATTAAATGCAAAAATGGTAAAAGATGGAAAAATTGAGTTTTAATTCACTATTTTTAAAAAAAATCAAGGTTCTTTTAATTAAACATTCAAGTGAAATTACATTATCTTTACCATCAAGTATTTACTCCTTTTGCTATTTATTGAATGTTTATGTATGTCAACCACCTTTCCTTTAATTTTGTTTTCCATTGATGTTTACACTAGTTTTGTACAAGTTAAGAGATATATTGTGTGCCAAGGATGTGAAAAAGGGAACATGCAAATGTTACAAAGTATTTATGTGACCGAATAAATTATTTTAAAACTGTAGTCTTAATTTGGCTGTGAAACTTTCTAGTTTTTCTTCAGTAAAGCATATTTTAAAAGGTTAGCTCACTTCCTGCTTCATTTTGTGGTGTACTGTTTTGATTGTAAAAGTATTTCCTTTCAAACTGGGTAGCAAAGTTAGTGTTCTTAAAGATTTTGCATGTGCCTCGCTTCATTTTTTACACAAGTGCAAATGCACTTTTCCCACCCCCCAACAAAACCAATCAAAACTTAAGATAATTTGCTGCTCTATCAAGTTCATTACCCTTGTTTAAAATGGGCTTTAAAACTAACTACACTGTTGTTGAGTCACATATTTGGATGGGTCATTTTACTGTAGAAGGTGGTCCTCTGGTTTTTATTTGTAACAAGTATATAAGTGCTAACTTGAATTGGTTAATTACCTTCTGCACAATTCATATAACATTTATTTTAAGACACAAAAGAAATACAAAAATACGTTGATATTTTAATTGATAAATGAACTTCTATGTTGGTTTCTTCAGCAGTGCTCAGCAGACAACTTCATTCATACATTCTTTTATGTGCTACTAAGAAGCCTCTCACCCAGTAAATATAAAAAAAGCTATCTTGGATAGATGTTTGAGCATTTTGAATGTTAAAAGGCCTTAAAAAATAAAAGTAGATAATGAGATGAGGTAATTAAAATATATCCTGACACATAATGGACAGAAGAAACTTGGAAGGATAAGCATAACTTGGACAATTCCAGGCTCTAATAGGTGTTTTCTGTAGATATTCATAATTTAATTCTTAATTCTTTTACTGAAGATTTACAGGCACACCAAGTTACTTTAAGTGCAAAACTTGCAGAAATTTCTCAGAATTTCTTGGGGACTTAATTCTCCACTTTTAGCTACTCTTGTTCCTTGCTGTTAGAAGCTCGCCTTAGGTATTTACAAAGACCTCTCTGAAATCTTGACATCTGTTCAAGAGTTGTGGAGTGGGCTTTAATACAAATGTACATTAGAAAGTTCATTCTCAAAGCTTTTCATATTCAACTGCCTGAGCGCTTCAGGTGTTTACTGTTATTATTTGTACTCTTAATATCCAATTTATTCAAACATTTGTTACCTAATAGTCTGTATTCAAGTGAGTTTGCTTTTTCCCTCACGTGTGGGAGCAAGTGATGGTAAGACTTATAAAAATACCTGTATTTGTACTATATTCTGCTATAATGAACCATTTTCTGTTTCAGAAGGGGGAGCATGGGTGTGAATCATCAGTGCATTTCGTCAGGGTTTAGGGAAGTTTCATGTTCAATCTTATGGATTTATTGGTTTTAACTATGCTTTTGCAAGTGAAAATTATTTAAGTTCTTTAAAGCAAATGTGCAAGCCTTCATCCATGAAAATAGCTTACATTATGGCTGAAAAGAATGAAATTGAGACAGCGCTAAATGTTGCTGAGAACAATACTGTCATCTTTTCAGTTATATTGTAGAGATGATACTACAAAATGTCGTATTTTTTTTAATCCCAAACAGCTGCTGTTTGCAAGTATTGGGATTTCTCAGGCTGGCTACATGCTACTGCTGCAGTATCCCCTAGCCTCTTGTGCCAGTTTTATTTTCTCTGGTGTAGAACAAAAGTGTTACTTGCTGCCGAAATGTTAGAAAAAAAGTTCATCTAATAGAAAGATGAAATCTTTAGAAGTGGATTAGTAATATTTAACTCTCTACTATCTAAAAGGCATTTGGTTATTATCGTATAGTAACTTGAGCATAATTCAATTTTCTTTCCCCTTCTTGGAGAAACTTTAGGGGATAGAGGGTTAAAAGCAAAGAAGGATGAATTGAGACTTTGCCTTTAGAGAGTTGACTGGGAAAACCAGATGGTATTGATTTTTCTTGCCTCTCCCCCTTTATATCTAATGCCTTTTGATCAAGGACAAATAAATCTTTTAGAAAACTTCTGAAAAATCACACTATTCTATCTGAGTTGGTCTGAGACTGTATGAGGTACATTTTTTACAACTATGCTTCATAATTTTAAAATATGAGATACATAGCAGGAGCTCTCAAATTAACATTGATGGTCTGTGTAAAGGGTTTGCATGGGTGAATGTTGAGCTGCTTTTAAAGCTACTTCCTCTTTCTGTAAAATTTTATTATACTTTCACTGAACATTAGTAAAAGATACTTTGCTCCCTTGCAACCCCGTTCTCCATGCTTAAAACTCCAGTTGCTGAAGGGCACTGCTATGTTTTGCTTTCGTTGCTTTGCATTTTGATGATGATGATGACCACAGTGATGTGTGGAATTTATTTTCACAGCATTTCATGAACAGCACCACTTTCATTTGTTAATGTATCTCATCACTGCAGTATTATTATTTTGCATAATTGTTTTAATTCATTCAAGGGGCCTGACATGTTATGGTCTTATAAGTATGTGCCCCTGGGACTTGAGTGTGTTGCCATATGGTGAGATAGTGCTGCATGACAACCTTTCAGCAACAGAAGAATTCAACAGTGAAATAAATATGGTAATTGTAAGTGTTCAGTGAAATCCTACACGTAGCACTTTGTCTTTTCCCCCTTGATGCCAAGATGACTGCTTGTAAACCAACCAGGTTGAAACAGATGTTCCAAGTATTCCATGAGATATGTTAGAAATGTGCTGATGATTTTTAGTTGTCTCTGTGTGTGTAACTTCACTTTTAAGTGAGTTCAGTTTGACTTCTGAAGTCTCTGGGGGTGTTTCTTGCTCTGAGACTTGTAACTGGGCAACAGCGATTTATAGAAAACTCTGGGTTTAATATGGGTTTAGAAAAAATTGAGCAGGAATGAGAAATTTGGAAAGATTACACTGAACAAAAAAAAAATAGTTCCTGTTTAGACCTGAGGAATAAGATCTGTTCATTCAAATGGAACCAAAGTGAAGGTTTTTGAGCAGCAAAACTAAAGAAACTATTTATGATAGCTTAAATGTGTAACATGCTTTCTGGTGTGTTCCTGGTCATGAGTGATTTACCTTCCAGGCTGGCATCCCAGTGTTTCACACAGAAAATGAGTTAGAAAGTGTTACTTCTGGTTCACACTTGGAAAGAGTCCAATCCAGCCAGTTTTGTTACCTTTCTTCACCCCACTCACAGGGAGTACTTGCTGTGAATAGGTTTGCACCTACTGAATTTCCCAAGATTGTTTTTTTACCAGTGAAATCTCCTAGCAAACACAGTAAGAGGTGATATTTTCACATATTTTTAATATTTTTCATCTTATATTCCTTCTCTATAGCCTATCCATCCCTCTTCAAAATATTTGTAAACTGAAGTAGACCTTCTCTCAGGAATTTCATGCTACTGTCTGAATCTTTGGAAGCACATAGGCCTAAAAATTGGGAGCTGATTTTTTGTGAGGTACACCTTAGACTTCCCAATAGATGTTACAGCTTTGGAGTATCCTGATAAACTAATTCTACAACTTCACCTCGTTTCATTCTCACACAAATACACTCATATTAATTTCAGTTATAGCTGATGGAAGATTAATCTGGACCCTTCAGTATGGATGTGGATCCTGGGTTACTTGCAGGCAGCTGAGACTCTAAGTAAGGTTTAAGGTAAATGTACTTCGCAATTCAAATAAGACATTCATTTATAATAATTACTTTATATGAAAATCTGACTTAGAAGTCATTTTGTCTGTGAGATACACTCAAGTAACAATACAGATGAAAGAGCAGTAGAACTTGGCCATTTTTATTTTCTGCTTGGTTAAAAAAAAATAGATCAAAACATAGATGTTGATTTGGAAGAGGACAATGTACTTAAAAAGTGATTAGCTGAGAGAGATTAAAATAAAGGAATAGCTAGAACTATGAAATCATTATTAAGAAATCCAGTGTAAGCTCTTCTGTTCAGAAGTCTGGTTCATATTCTTTCTGATCTGCTAGCATCTTCTTTGAATCTCTGCAGGTGATTTATGGTTTGTCTGCTACATGAATGTTGACATTGAGAATAGATTTTTCAAGTAGATTTGCTTGGTATGGCCATAAATTGATTTTACAATTGTATGTATATACAGAACCTAGTATGTAATTTTTTTCCTACCTTTTATGATTTTTTTTTTTTTGCTAGAAAGAGGGATCAGTAGACCTAGCTGATTTTTTCCCCTTTCAGTTTTTAATCTTATCACCTGTTTTAATCTTGGTGTGTTTCACAGTCTTCAAAGTGTAATTGCAATGATGCAGCTGCTTAATGGATTGCTACATTTATTATTTTCCCCCTAAGAGCAGTATTTCTTTTTTGCATCTATAATTGGATCATGCTGCTGCTGTCCCTGATGGAAATGCCAGGTTTCATATTCACCGTACACCTGAGCACATGCTTACTCACTTGGTAATCTTAATATTTTTTTTTCTATTTATGTATCAAAATTTACTTCAATTACACACATTTTCTTTGTTTTGGAATTTTATTGCAAAAGAAATTAAAGGGGAAATGCCATCATGCACCTCTTGCTTTGCTGAGTTTTCAGATTCAGACTGGGCCTTTGTATCCCACCACTGCATGTCACGAATGTGAGATGTGTCATACCAGCTCCAGGGCAACATAAAGATATCACAGATTTGGAAGGGGGGATCAATTTTGTAACAAGCATTACTTGTTGCTGCTCTGTGCATGTTCCTGCAGGCGTGGCCTTTATTTTCCGTGCTGGTAGTGACTACAGCGCATCCCATCTATCACTCTGCAGGCAGGTGGGAGGTGATTAATTTGTCATTGTTGCTGCATCTGAAGGATTCTCCTTTCCCCTCCCACACTACCTTGGCCCCTTTAGAAAGATTTTCATCCATTAAACTTTCCCTTCTCTGTTGGAAGAACTAAATCTCTTTGAGCATTTTCAGGCTGGTGATCTAATTTGACAGCTGTAGGTGATGTCTGTTCCTTTTCAAAGAGGCAGGTAGCCCCGGGCTAGCCAGCTGCATTGTGGATTCTGCAGATTTGGCTTGCTGTTCCTGCTGGGTGTCATCTGTCTTCTCAGTCTTGCGCTGGATAATTTTTGTCCTCCCCAGCATCATCTGCCTGAGCAGTTTCTGCCTGGCAGGCCTGTCTGTCCAGGTTGAGCATCAAACACAGTAGCCACCCGGCTAATGTGACAAGGCACTCCTCCAAAGAGCGCAGCCTGGGGCCTGCTTTGGCCAGCATCGGCATCGCAGCCCGCAAACTTCCAGCCATCACCATGATGGTCTTGCTCTCCCATCACGGGTGCAGCCCATGGACTTATTCTGCTGGCACAAAGTATGTCCCCCGCCTCGCCCTCTTAAGGGCCGTCGCTCCGATTCCTCCCATCCAGGCAGATTTCTGCCTCAACAGGTTTGGGCTTTCCTGCCTGTTGCCGGCATTTGACTCGGACACCGCCACTTGGATGAAATAATCCTTTAGTGGATTATCATCGCCAGACAGCCTGTGGGGGAAATGACAGGACTCGGCACGTTCATCTGAAGATTTTGCAATTCAGAGTGCTGCTAATGCTAATGGAAAGTGGCAGGGTGATCCCTAAAAGAGAAAGTGGGTTCCATTGCACGGCAAAAATGACAGAGGTTGTTTAGCCTATCTTCCAAAAAAATACATGATGACTACATATGTTGATTTTCATGCTCCAAGCCATAGCTATTTCCATATTTTTGTGACTTGATGACTACTTTCCACAAACTGACAGGTTAGAGGCTCCACAAGTATTGTCTTTTTATAGCCATCACCTCTTTAAGTCCTCCTTAATTTCTTTAAAATATGTTTTGAAAATAAGCTTGACTGGGCAATCAGAGTAAGCAGGGAACAAAAAACAAAACCAGGCATAAATACAACAAATAGCATATTCTTTAAAAAAAAAAAAAAGAAAAAGAAAAAAAAAGAAGCAAAAAACAATATTATTCAAACAAAGGAGGAATGGTTTCAGAACAGTAGTCCTAGAAACCAATGCAACTATCTGTCACAGGAATTGCTCTTGTTGCAGTCCCATAATTCTGAACCTGACAATAGTCATGATGTAAAAATTCTTTCCTAGAAATGCAGTAGTTACAAAGCTCCTTAACTACAGGATTTGCTTCTTAACAAATAAAAAGCTGGAGCATAGGGCTTAGAGGGGCAAATAACTTGTCTGAGAGGCTATGAAAGGATGGCAGCTAAGCTGGAATAGGTAAAATTAAGATTTGAATAATTCTACCCAAATTAGTAGTGATGATTAAGCCAGCTGGAATATCCTTCAGATATGATTAATATATGAGCATGATTGTAATTTACCGGTGATTGTCAAATGGTTACATGTTTTGGATTCAAGTGGAAAAATATAAATACTAATTTACAGGCTGTAACAGCTAGTCACTTTCAGGAAATAGATAATGTAGAAGGGAACTATTTTTAAAGTAATTCTTATATTTACTTATTGATTAATTAATGTAATACTTAGAGACTATGTAACAGTGAAGGAGTGAAAAACTATTTTACATTATATACTTATGCTAAATTTAAGAATAATGTTAGTTGAAGTATTGAACACTTACCAATATAAGATTCATTTTATTATTTAGACAGGTTCCAGCTATATTTTGCCTGATTTTGGAGGAGATTGTTACAAAACCAATTAACTCATTTTTAAGCCTGAGTTTAGAAGATTATAGATAATGTCCAAAAAAACCCCCACCCCATATAGTAATTTCCATGAGCTGTTTCCAAGCTTTTATGATGTGGCACAGGATTTAATAATACAATAATTTTTTGTGTCAGTCCAAATAGCTTTAAAAAAGTACCTCTTTTTGCTGAGCCACACAATTGCTCCCACTTATAAAAGCTATGCAGAGTAGAACATGGGCAGAACTAACATACTACTTCTGTTTTCTGCTAATAAACTAGTAACTGTTCCAGCTAAACTGGCACCTTTCTGGTATTCCAGGTAGGAAGGAAGCCTTCAGGACACTGACGACTGCAGTAGTTGCAGCAGAATTTTTGGTCCAGTTTATTCTTCATTAACCCTTCAGGAGCTCCATGTCTTTCTCATACTGAGAGCCTCTCTTGTGCTTGGAAATGGTTTTAAAAGAAATGTACAGGGATTTTACATCATTTTTGCTTTTTTAAATAGTTGTAAAAAGAGACTGTTGCTCTTTTTTATTTGTTTGGATGGTTTTTCTTTGTTTATTTGTAGCCTGCGTGTCCAGCAGTTGTTATTCACGTTTGCTGCAGCTAGAAGCAAACTGGGTTAATGTATGTCTCTTACTGTAATTACTGAATCCGAGAATCAGTTAGATTGGAAAAAGCCTCTGAGATCATCGAATCCTGCCCATGACTAAACACCACCACGCCAACCAGACCAAGAGCCACGTCCAATCTTTCCTTAAACACCTCCAGGAATGGTGACTCCACCAGCTCCCTGGGCAGCCCATTGCGGTGTCTAATTACCCTTTCTGTGGAGAAATTCCTCCTGATGTCTAACCTGAACATCCCCAGACACACCTTGAGGCCATGTCCTCCTGTCCTGTCGCTGGTTACCTGGGAGAAGAGACCGACCCCAGCTGGTACAGCCTCCATTCAGGCGTTTGCAGAGAGCAGTGAGGTCTCTCCTGAGCCTGCTCTGCCGCGGGCCGAACACCCGCAGCTCCCTCAAGCCGCTCCTGACAGGAGACGCCTTCCAGCTACCGCTCCGGAGCCGTGCGCGTCCGTCCCCGCAGGTTAGGGCTCCGGGGGCGGTGCCGGCAGCCGCGGCCGGCGCGGCGCGATGAGCTCACGGCGCGGCCCGGCGGAAGCTCTGCGGGCGGGAGGCCGGGCGGGGCCGGGGCCGCCGGGCTGCGCTGCCCGCGGAGCGCCATGAGCGCGGCCGGCCCCGCGTCCCCCGGCCGCGGCGCCGACAGGAGACGGGACTCGCCGGCCGCCGGGTCCCCGATCCAGCCCATCATAAAGGGTAAGGAGGGAGCGCTGCGAGCCCCCAGAGGTGCCGAGCCCGCTGTGTAACCCCGCGGCACGGGGGCCCCGGGACCGGCTGCGGTGTCCCGGGACCCCCAGGGCCGGGCCAGCTCTCCGGGATCCCTCCAGCCCTCCGCCCAGCCCTCAGCGTGTGCCGGGGTCTGAAGCCGGACACATGGGAGGCTTAGCTGGCTTTCGTCTCACAACTGGAAACCAGCGCGGCTCTGTATTTTCTCGGGGAGCCGAGTCGGCCACCGAGGACCTTGCCACGGGCATGGAGTTTCCTAGGAAGTTCTTACTTTTGGTGTTGTTCACCCAAGTTTTGTCGTGGTTAATCCGTGCTCAGAAGCGTTTGGACTGGGTAGAGTGGCTTAGCCCATGCATGATTTACTGCAATCATAACTTTCCCGAATTTCTAAATAATCGTTCTGTACCATTTTGAACGTGGTGGGGTTCAGGGTGTTGAACAAACACAGGTGGATGCAGTAGAGCCACAAGGCAGGAGTATGCATCCTTTAGATGGCAGTGCCGCCTGAAAGTCTTTTTTTGGGACTACATTGTCTACTTCTTGAAACAGCATTTGCTATGCTCTCACAGTGCTTTTCAGTTCAGCAGCCTTTTTCTTCGTGACACATGAGCCTGTTTCTCCACATATACTTAAATAGTAAATACTCTTTTCCAAGACTAAATCTCAAGTCTGGCCCTAGAATACAAGAAAATGCTGACAGTTTTCCTTTGTAGTGAGGATTCCTCCTGTGTCTTGCTGCAGAAGACTCCCATACTTACTCTGTGGATCTCTGATAAGCTGCAGCATTTAGCTCTGGTCTTTTACCAACACTGACAATCAGATATGGAAGCTGTACTGAAGAGGACTGAGACAAAGGATGCTGAGCCGCAGAGGAAAGCGTTCACCTTCACAGAAAGGTGTCTTTGGCATCTGGAATACTGGTTCATTGTGTTTTATCTAAGCTGGCAGTTTGCTGGATACATAGGTCACCCTACAATTTCTCTGCTGGTGCTCTTTTGGTTTTGTATGAGCTTGGTGAGCAATAGTCCTTCCTTACACTGAGAAACAGTGTGCTGCCTGTGTTGTGTTGCCTGGTGTGAGAGTGAGAGAAAAACTAAAATTCTGGCTTTCATTAATTTTCTAGATGTTGGGGAAGTCTATTCAAGACTGCTGGATCACCGACCAGTAATTCAGGGAGAAATACGTTACTTTGTTAAAGAATTTGAAGTAAGTATTTGTATCTTACTGGATGCTGGCAGGGTCTGAAACTTTGACAGCTTTAGCATCTTTTTAGATATAATAGTAGGTACAGAGGTACAGAACGGTCTTCAAAAGGGCTCGACATGGATTTTTTTTTTTTGCCAAAATAATACACTTGTAGTATACATCTGCATCTTTAGCAAACAAGGCAGTAATTTAGGTCTTTTTATTTTAAATTTTTTGAAAATAAATGTGGATTTGGGGGGAATTTTTTCCTGCAGAAGACTGGCAAGAATTTTGATGTAGGAGAATAATGTAGTCCTAACATCTTAGAGAAGTCTGGTTGGTTCAAGGAAAGTATTGTTGGCCGGTGTAGGTTTGCATCTTTTTGAGAAGCTACTTTATGCCTCAGCTCGATTCAGCTAGCACAGTTGTATTTTTATTTCCTTTGATTTTCATTACACAAGGGAAAGCTATGCTATTGGAAGAGAAGAGGAACACTTTCTGCAAAGTAATAAAATCATTAAAAATTGAATAAATGTTATTTGATTTGCTGCAAATAAGGCTAAAGTACTGAATGTGTAGAAGTACTTTTGTACAGCTTTGCCTGGAAAGTATAATTTGGTTTCCACAAGATGGCAGCAAAAATTTAGAAAATTTTAATCCTATGCCAGCAAAAGGCTGTTTCTGTATGGATTTTCTTTCTTACAGAATGTGGAATTTAAAAATGTAACTGAAAATGCAGCTACACCTCAAAATACCAGTATGCAGACCTGATTTGAATTACATTTAAAATGTCTTTCCCCCTCACCCCCCCAACAACCTAGATTGTAGCTTATATTTCAAGCAGGTCTGTTTTGTCTCTGCTGGTTTAGCAAAATATGGATATGAAATAAGCTCTCACCAGATCTGTATCATATGGGCTTGAGAGTCATAAGAAGTTATTTCTTTTCTCTGCTTTCCCTAACTAAGCTGTAGCATACAGTAAGTTTTAAATGTAGTGACATTAAAACAGTAGTTTTAAATGTCATTCCAGAGGAAGGAAAATATTAAACTCCTAGACAAAATTAGAACTTATATCTTTAGGCTGATTATTCATGTATTTGTCTCATTTCACCCGAAGTCTTGTTCTGTTCTTAGACAAATGTAATACATTCTTAGATCTTTTATTGAAATTTAGTTACTGGTTTATACTTTTATCGGGGGACAATAGCAAAGTAGAGGATTGTTTAAACTTTTGCAACTTAGAATTTCTTGTAAGTGAGCTTAGGACCACCAGCACCCAAAAATTCCACTTGTTTCTAACTTTGAGATATGGTCTTATATTTTCAATGATTAGCACCTAGTGTGCAAGGAATGGAGATTTGCACTCAGGAAATCTGGAGCCTGTTTTATTAAGGAGTTTTGCTTGTCTGTCACTGTTTCTGAAGTTTTAAAACGGGTGTGGTGATCCCTGTCCCACTTCATGTGATAGACTATTTATTGTTTATGTAGAGTTTTTATCTAAAGTAAAATGCTGGTGAAATTCGAAGTGGGGATAGTGCTGTGGCTTCAGAAAAATGGATTATTGTAAATTTAGACAATAAAATAAGATTATTATTAGAGTACTTGTAATTAATCATGATCAGTAGTGATCTAGAAGAGCTGCCTCTTTAGTCAACTGTGTTAAACTATTTTTTAGTCAACTTCATTGCTTTATTTCAGTTAAAACAATTTTACTTGCATTGTTTTCACCTCCTGCCATACTAAATGTGGAAGGTCAGACATCAAGCAAGCAGAATCACTACTATGTTATCTCTCAGTAACTTCATTTTTGAATTATAAAAATGAAATGCTTTCAAGCTCTGTGCCTCTCTGTTGTTTTAGAGATGCTGTAAATTATCTATACAAAACAGGACATTTTCCCCACGGTGTGTAGATAGTTAGTACTGCCTTTTTTCACAAGGGCCAGAGGAGTCATTCAAAGGATTTTTGTAATTTAATGTGGAGAGTGGAACATTGCTCTCTTTTTTTGGCAATTTTATCTTTGTTGTTAAATAAGTAGAGTAACACTTCAGTAGACAATGGTCTAGTCTTTGAAATAAAGCTATTAGTTTTTCAACTGGGAAACCATCTCTAATTTGTGAAGTGGAATTCTTTGCTAGCTACTGAATTTCTTTCATTTTTGTGGCAGGAAAAACGTGGCCTCCGAGAACTACGAGTACTTGAAAATCTCAAAAATACGATCTTTGAAACAAATGAACGTGTTCTTCCCAAGTGTGAGCAGGCAATGCAGGACAATTTGAGTGAAACCTTCAAGAGATGTAAGTAGGTTGTTTCTTACTGCTCTTGGTGCATCATTTTGAGGCATCAAAATTTAAATAGTTTGGATTCAAAGTATGATTTGTTAAAAAATTATTACATTTTAGTAATTTTATATGCTTTATGTGCATAGTTCTCACTTCTGTACAACTTTAAAAGGAAAACAACAGAGATGTTTTCTGATATGTAGTAGTCCAGCCAATCAGCTCTTGCTAAGGTTACATTAAAGTTTTTTGTTGTTTAAGTAGAAGCTGTTTCAGCTTGTTCTTTTCCTGTTCACTTGGAAATAGTGCTCCCCATTGACTAAAGCCATGGACAAAATTTCAGTTTCCTGGTTTGTTGGAAGCATGCTGTGAGGTGAACTTCAAGTTTCTTAATTTTCCCACAGGAGTGCATACTCCTGTCTCCCTTAAATTACTTAAAACAAAACTTTCTGCTGTATAGCTGTGAAATTTTATATTATTATTATTCAGTCACAATTTGGGAAGTAATAATAATTGAATGGTAATCTTAGTTTCATCCATATTAATATATTTCTTTACTGCTCAGATTTTAAAAGAATGTTTGAAATTTGTGCTACTTTTGAAGTGGTTTTTTTTTCTTACTCATTTAGCAGGATGACCTCTTTACAAGAGAAGAGAAAGTGGGTACACAGCTTTAGCTGCCAAATTTATGCAGTTGAAACGTGCCTCTGTGGGTTTTGTTACAATTTATGTGTGGCATGTTGTATAAGCATTTAATTTCCTATAACTTATTTATATGGCATCTGGCATATGCAGAATAGCAAATGGTAGATGGTGCTTTGCACACCAAAAGGATTGCAGGAAAACATTGAAACTTTAAATTTAGTCATGCAAATAAGGCATACTAATACCATCTATCTGGGGTGAACCTTCAATGCTGCTCCCTGACTTTTTCATGGTCAAATGTGCAGTACATCTTCAGTAACAGAATCCCAGAATAGTTGAGGTGGGAAGGGATCTCTGCAGGTCATGTCCAACCTCCCTGTTCAAGCAGCAGCAGCTTAAGCCAGTTGTCCAGGACTGCATCCAGTTGCTGCTTGGGAAAGTGGTGTATTTCATTCTGTGTTAAAATTGTGTTTAATAAGTTAGGAGGGGGATGGGGGGGAAGTGTGTGGCAATACAGTTCCTATTTCCATTGACAAGTTTTCCCAGGCTTAGTCTGGGAGAGAAGAGATGGACTTCAGCATAAAGATGTTGTATATATGGAGTCTATACATAGCTGATGGGGAAAAAATAAAGAAAAAAAAAAA